GTGACCACCCAGGAGGGTGGGGACACCTGGGAACGTGAGTCACTGTGTCGCTGAGCCCCGCTCTGCCAGCTGCCCTTAGATCTGGGTGTCTCCTGCCAAATATTAACTCAAATGTGGTTTCTCAAGCCCGATATCTGATTTCTGACTTGACATTTCCTTGAAATGGACAGGATGAAAGTAGACTTTGTGGATGAAACAGAGCTTGGGGGGCCCCAGGGAAGGAAAAGCAAGCATTGGTCCTTTGCTCAGAAGCCAACTCTAGTTGTCCCCCGCCCCCTACTGCCCTGAATGCGGCTTCCCGGGGAAAGCTAGGGGACTCCACCTAGGGACTGTGACTCTCTCCGGGGGATTCCCTCTTCCTTGGCTACTGCCCAGGCTTCTCTGACCCACCCTTGCAGTGTCTGCTTCTAGACCGAGTTCTCTCAACAGCTCCGCTCGGAAGGATAGACCAGCGGTGTGTCAGCCCTGGAAACTCAGTTAGGTCTCTGCATCTACCAAGCCCTTGCCCCTGTGAGCTTGATGCAGAAGAAAGAGCCCAAGCAGAAGGCTGCCCCAGACCCAGTCTGGGGTGGGGAGGGGAGCCAGACTGAGCAGTGTCTCTTTCCAGAAGGTTCTGTCTAGACCTCCCTGTCCCAGACCCTGTTGTGGGCTGGCCAGGCACTCAGGAACTCAAGACCAAGAAGTATTCATGAAACTGAGAAACAGGGGTGGTCCTCAGGCCCTTTTCCATCTCTCCACCGTTTCACACATCTCTGTAAGCTCTGCCTTCCTCCCTGCAGGGTAAAAACAGGGGTTGGCCTGAGTATTAAAAACCAGCTCGCTCTCTCTCATCAGTCAGTGACCTTAGGCAAATCGCTGAGCCCCCTGGCGTTATAACAATTCCTAAATTATTAGAATTAAATGAAATATTATATAAGAAGTTGCTTATAGGCTTCGAAGGATTATATAAATGTCAGATTTTTGTGCTTCTTATTTTTTGGTTTTATTTTTAATTTCCTAAAGCCTGGTTCAACAGGCAAAGGTGTTGAGTTCAAAACTGGGAGAGAAGGCCCTGCCCGACTCCGTTCCCCCACTATCTCCCGGGAGCGCTCTGGAGCACCTGGTTTGAAGGGTTCAAACTCTCAGAATAAACACTGCTTATGTGAGAAACAGAGTTTTAAACCCTTGATTCACCATTCAGACACTCAGGGGAGGGGACCCGGCAGGAAAAGTACAAATGAATGACTAGAGAGTGAGGAAAAGAGATAAGGAGGGGAAGGGGGCAAAGACAAGTCTCTGTCTGTCTGGTGCCCCCAAGGAGCCCTGGGGCTGCATCCCTGGTCCAGCACACCCTACACTGCCCCCCGATGCAAAGCGCTGAGGGGACACCCCACCCACACCAATCCCCCAGCTTTAGGCTCCACACCACCCCAGCCATCCAGGTTGTCATTGCTGCCTCCCCATTGAAACCCACCTGTCCTGCCACACAGGGTGACCTCTTAGGCCAACTCACACCCACATTCATGTGGACATGGGGATCAGAGGTAGTTACGGTAGACCCAGGAAGGTCAGGAGCATTTCTGCAGAAGCTTTCTGGAAGCAGCAGAGTGTGCTTATGTTATCTGCTCCAAGGCAATCTGCAGTGAAGATTGAGGTCAGGGACAGGGGATCCAGGGCCAGCTGTCGGAGGATAGAAGGAGTATTTTGAAGACCCCACCTCTCCTATTCTGCCCTATGGTGGGTAGCAAACAAAAAGACAGATTAACAAACAAAAATTTAGCAAATAAAAAGACAGGACACCCAGTTCGACTAAATCAGATAAGTCACCAATCATTTTTTAGTATAAGTATATCCTGTGCAGTATTTAGGACATACAGAGGCTAAAATAATGATGGGTTGTTTATTTAACATTTGAATTGAACTGGATGTCCTGTGCTTGGTCTGCGAACTTGACCACTGAAGGCTGCTTGCTCTCCATGGGCAGGGCCTCCTGAGAAAGAATGTGAACCGTGATGGTCACTCTTCCCTATGGGAAGCAATTCAGCCATGGCCTCTTTGGTGGAATGTTCTAGCCACTCAGACACCTCGCTCAAGACAGGAAAAGCGGAGGGCATGTGTGAGAATGAAGACTGGTAAGCTGCATCCATGATCATGAGAGCGAACGCTCTGAATATAGATGCCTCCCATGGCCATGCCCCCTTTCCTCCCGCTTCCCACCAAAGCAAAGGGCAAAATCTCTTCTCATTTGCTGGGAGCCTCTGTCTGTGGCTGTAATGAGCTTTCCTTGTTCCTCTTTTCAAGGAGCATGTCAGTGCCCTTGTCAGGAAAAAAAGATCTCATCAACAATGGTAGTCTGTAGTCATGACTACCTTTGGGGGCTTCTCTGACCAGTCCTTTAAGAGGCCCCTTTCCAGAGGGGTTGCATTCCTGCAGGAAAGAGGCAGTGATTCTCTCAAACACAAGTGTGCCCCAGGCAGGAGAGACATTCTCTCACCACTGTGCTCACAAGCTGCTTTCTTCCTGTCTGCCTTCATGGTTTTCAGATTCTACACTGTTTGGTAGCAGCAAATGTACCAAAGCATTGGTGATGACTCGTAATGAGATTATTAATAATAATAGTTTGATCAGTTCCTCTGCAAATACCTTTGTCCTAAGAAACAACAAGCCTCCTGGTTATTTGACAGCCCGAGCGAAAGGGAGAAATTACCAGCACCGCAGAGCAAAGAGTGTATTATGTATAAAAATGTGCTCTGCCACTGGGTTCCCTCTAGAGTAAGAGGTCACCAAAATTCACCTGAGTAACACCGCATTCTCGCTGACAGCTGGAAGGAAAGTTACCGTGTGTGCATTTCATCAGGGGAGCTCCCTAAAGCTGTACTTCTTAAACAGTTACAACACACAGGAAAGTCACCTGTATAGATAAAGCCTTAATTTAGTCCCCCTGTCATTAAAAATCAATGCCAAATACACCACAGTATTTTCAGAAGATTGTGTCTTTGGGATATGCGGTCTAGGGAAAGGACAATAGAAACTGTGTTTAGTCAACAGACTGACGACTGAGGTTGTATTGGGGTCCCTTTCCATGTCTACTGACCCCTCCCCAACAACCCTCAAATCTCTGTTCGCAATATCATAGATGATGTGTAAAACTAATAATCAACTGACATCATTCATGTACCCTGGAAAGCAGCTTAACGCTGTGTCTGAGGCCTTCGTTAACAATGTGTATGAGGTCCCGCTCTGTACAAAGTATCAGGCCCTATGAAGAGTTACAAAGAAAGAAGAAAGCATAATTATTGCTAATGAAAATGTCTGGTCACTCAGGGGAGACAGGTCACTTCAAAGAACATCTGAGGGATGAAAACAACAAATGAAAACCAAAGCCAATTACGTAAAATGGAGGGATGACTGGGTGGACGACGGTGACCTGATCTGGGTGCGTTGATGTGGAAAGAATTCATAAGGTGTTGAGTTTCTTGAGGAAGGAGATGAAAGTCTTCTTGGTTTTGAATCTCCGGCACCTAGCCTGGTGCTTGGTACTTGGTGCTTAATAAACATTTTCACACTGAGGAACATATTTAGTAAATCTATGGGTGAATGATTGCGTGAGTTGATTCAATAAGGGTTGAGAAGAACTGTGAATTCTTAAAAAAATTAGTATTGGAGAAAAGGGAGTGAGTTCCCAGCAGGAGAAATTACATGAGTAAAAGGACGCAGGCAACCTGGATTCCCGCCAGGGTCACAGTGATAGCCGTGCCCTGCAAGCTCACAGCCCCGCTAGCAACTCATCCTCACATCAGAATTACTAAGGTTGTTCCTCAGCTTGACCCAAACCCCTGAACCTTCTCATTCCCTAAGCATATCCTGTGTCTACACCAATTTAGCCATCCAATCATGGTTTAGAAAATTCCAACTCCAAAATAAAGAATTTTCAACCAAAACATTTCTGTTTTCAATCGGCAGCAGAATTATCAACATTGACAAAATGCAGAACCAAGCTAGTCAAAAACGCAACTCACAGAAACCAGTGCTCAGTTCTGTGCAAACACTGAAAAGCAAAAAACAACCACAAAAAAAGTGTTGAAAGTTACATCTGCTCATTTTTTAGTGCAAAGAGAAACTCTACATCCTCTAAGACGACATTTGGACTAAAGAGCCACAAGAGTGCTCAAAACAATTTCCCTCAGTGCACAATCAGGAAACACCCACCATCACAAGGGCAGATGGATTCACGAGACACCAGACCCCAGGCTCATTTCTGGACCCCACCAGAGAGAGTCTCTGCCCAGAGACTTGGGACCAAGGACTGCCCCGTAAATTCCTCTTGCTGTCTCCTGACCACTATCTTGAGGTCCACCCTCACTGTATCCCATAGTGACACCTGAGTTTCCCACACCAGTTGGATACTGTAAATCACTCAGTCATCCTTCAAATGGCCAGGTGAGTTAGTTTCCCCAACTGGAGGTGAAGGTGCATCCTCCTCTTGCTTATCTGCTCATTGCAGGCATTTTCCTTGCCTCACATCCAAACCACCTGAGTTATGATATCAGCCCTCTCAGAGAGGCCCATTTTCCCCATCGTTATTTGCACAAACCCAGCCTCATACGCCTCTCACTATAAGACAGAGGCACACGTGTATCTATGAGGAGTTGTCACCTGGAAATTCTAAATGTGACCACTGCTACCCCTGCAGCACTTTTTGATCTAGTCTTGTCTTTTATTTTTCTGTTTCCATTACTTCTCTGCCTGAATCTTCTCAAACCCTACAAATGCCAAGCCCGAGCTAGATGTCAGAATTCTGTACTTAGAGACAAGTAAATGTACTGAAAAGGGCAAAGAGTCCAAAATAGTGAGCAAAACTACTGATCTACCAACTTCCTAGTTGAATGACTTTGGGCACATAAGCAGAGTGGAACATA